CTGTGTTCTGTCTAGCAGAGGCAGGTGTTGGGTCTCAGCTTCTCCTTCCAGCAAAGGGACAGGGCAGCCTTGAGGAGGGGTTTATGGGGAAACTTGGTCTGGGCTCATGGACCCCTGAGGGTGCACCAGAGTGTGTGTGTGTTTGATTTTTAAATAAATTATAGAGCCATATAACTACATCCCAGAAAAAGAAGGAAATTGAGGGGAGACATCACCAGTAATCCCACTTCCCTGTCCTGTTCTAGTTTTTAGATGAAAAGAAATAACAACATCTATTGGGAGTCATGGAAATGTTTGTTATCGGATTGTGTGATGGTTTCACAGGTGTGTACAGATGCCAAAACTCATCAAATCACACACTTCAAATATATGCAGGTCAATTATACCTCAATAAAGCCGTAAAAAAAAGAACAAAAAATCACATTTTTTTAACTACAAAAGATAGACATTTTCATTATGAAGAATTCAGAAAAGTAAAATGATGAAGAAAATAAATGTCTTGCTGTTCGGAGACCGCTGTGGAGCCCCCAGTGACGTTCCCTCTGCCTGTGGAACCCCTTGGAAGGTTCCTTGGGGCCAGCACTTGTGGCCCATCAGCCTCCAGCATGTGCAGCCAGGCTCAGGGCCCACCGTGGCTCTACTGGCCTCGCGTGGCGCCAGACCCAGTGTCCTTCCACCTGAGGGCCCAGCGCTGCGGCACAGGGGCCCGGCCCTCACTGAGTCTGCACCCCTCATGACTCCTGGGTCCCTGTCACTTCTCTGGCCAGTGCCTTCTCAGTCTCTCCACCTCTACGTCCCTCCTAGTCCAGCCCCTGCCCTTTCCCCATCCAGTCCCCTGGGGGCAGGGGGAGAGTCTCCAGCCCTGTGGCTGTAAACACAAACTATTCACTAACAACACTTCCCTCTCTGTCTCTGGTCTTGGCTGCTCCTCAGTGCCTCAGACCCACCCTCTCTCCACCTGACTCCTCCCTGTGGGTGGGCTGTGGGCGCCTAAAGCCTCGCATGGGCACCCCGGCTTCTCCATCACAGTCAGTGACCCACTGTCCATCCCGTAGCTGGTCCTTCTTCTTCACATCCAATCCATCTACAAGGTCAGAGAAGACCGGGCATCCGAGCCCTCCTTTCTGTCGCCTTGCTTCCACCCTAGTCCGGGTCACCAGTGCCCCCCATCTGGACCAATGCCATAGCCCCTAACCACTCACCCTGCTCCATCCTCACCCCCCA